CAAAAACAGACTGCAGTGCTTCAACAAGGCAGCTGACCACTACCTGTGCAATTAGGGAAATTACTTGAGAGCAATTTATGCTAGCATTGATATTGAAGTACATGACTGAATAAAATTAGCATTACAAAAATAGTGGGCCCAATTTTTAAATCTGTAGAAGTGAATAAATTTTGTCCAAGTCAAAATTTTACTTACTACCTCACTAGTATGCAGGGATACAAGCCAAACGGTCTTCCCTTCACATTTTGGGTACCAATTGTAGAATTATGAACAAGGCAGTCATGTGACATGCTATCACTGTGAACTCTAATATATCTGGCGCAGCTTTGAAGTATTAGCACAAAAATTCACAAAGATAACGAGTAAAGATGGATCATTTTCCCTGGTTACAGAAGTGAAAAGGAGTTTCTCGATATATATATCTATAGAATATATATTGAGTCAGTTACAATAGCATTGATGTGGGAATAAGATTCTCCATTTGCTTCATACAAAAAAAACAAGAACTTGAGGAACTTAAAGCATTTTTCTCATATCAACAATGGCAAATAAATGCCTAATTATAGTGTGAAAGGTCAAAACCTTTTAGACAGATAGTTCAAATTAAATACAAGTGGAACTGAAGGATTTAGCAAGGAAATCACTTGTTGAGTCTGATGAAATTCCAGACCTCATTTAGGTAATAGACTGCGTTTTATAGATGAACAGATGTGCCTGGTTTTGACTAAGTCTATTTTTTAAAAAATAAAGAAAACTGATGTTTAACAGAGGAGTTGCATTATTTTAGATGAAATTTGAGAATGTATTTATAGAATATGAATGTGCTAGGTTTGAATTAACTGAAAAGTGCTTTTTATTTGTCCACAGCAAATGATGGTGCTGTTAGCTGAACATAAGCAACGCTGTAACACACAAATATACACACTGAGAATACGTCAAAATGATTTTAGTACATGCACAATGTGCTATACTATGGTTCAACTCCTAAGAGAACAAGTAACTGAGCCAGACTAGGGAAAGTTGTGAGAACTATTCCACCCCCACAAAATAAAATTGTTCCACGGTATGATCCATCATCTGAGAGGCATTTATATGAAAAATAGTTTACCTACGGCCAAAAGGCAGAGCTGCACTAATAAACCTGTTCACCTCCCTAAAACATCTTATTATCAACATGCTCGTGTTCATTATAGAGCCAATGCTGAAAGAATTCAGTACAGCAGGAGATTGATTTGTGGACAAATGTAAACCATCTGGTTTACATTTTTTTCAAATATTCAATTTTAATTCAGTTTTCTTTCAATTATTTTAAAGAAAAGCTTTTTTGTTAGAAAAAGCCAACAAGGCTTCCCTCCATCCAATGGTTATAAGTTTCAGTCTCACAATAATCATCCAGATTAATTGAATCCAAAAAGTGTAGCTGTACAAATCCAAAGAACAGAATTTGTACCGTTTCTTTTAAATGAATGTTGGCTGTACTACAATGACATTTTGAATATTAAAAGAACAAATTATTTGCTTTATGATTTCTTAAAGCAGCATTTAGTCAAATTACAGCCGTTCTTATTTTTAAAAACAGATCGGCTGAAGGACTTGGAGAAAACATTTTTCAATGAAGTTTATATAGAACAATAAAACCATAAGAAAATGTTAAAAAATGATTTCAGAAGCCAGAGACTATTTTCATCAGCCTATTGGAATTCTTTGTAAAGGAAAAGAGATTTCAATGGATTTTTCACTTGGATTTTCTGAAATGTTGCGTCTCAAGCAGGCAAAAGAAAATGTACGAGAAACTAAATCCAAACTAATTTAATCAGGTTCAAATTTGTTTAAAAGAAAAAAGATGGCACAAGAAACAGCTATTAAAAAGGCAGCAATGAATGAAGGAGGCTCTGTCCAATATCAATAGCCCATTTTAGATTATTAAAGGTGCTTGCTTTCATGAATATAAGTGGTACGAGTCAGAAAAACTCCTCCAGGCCACAAGACACCATGGCCCTCCCTTCTTTTTCCCATCTGCCGCAGCTTAATTATTAACATTTCTAACTCCACTTTCAAATCAATTGGTTCATGTTACTTTAGCCTGTGCTTTTTAAATGCCAGATGTACCGTCTTAGCTGTTGTATAATCAAACTTCAGTACTTCTGATTCTGCAGAATTGTGAATAAGCTAAGACTGCCTCCCTGAACATAGATGCAAAATCAACAATTCACAACAAAAATAAAGTAGGGTACACAAGACTTGCAGAGTTAACATTGGTCTCTTAGTATCCAAATTAAAGTAAACTAAATGTTGTAACTTTTAGTAAAATACCTTCTGAAAATTAAAGTTACATCCTCAGAACTTGATTTTGTTCACTGTTATTTCCTCAGAACAATCCCAGCAGACTGGGAGATTAAAGTATTGTTTCTATACAGTATCAGCTTCCCTTTATGCACAATATTGAGAAAGCACTGAAGCATTTTACAGAAGTTATCAGAATTAAGCCAGCTAATGAACGACTTTGGTCCTATCAACAATTTATACGAAAGGCTGTAAAAGTAAGAGTTGCAAAAAAAATGAAAAATACATTAGGATCATAAGAAATAGGAACAGGAGTAGGCCATTTAACCCCTTGAGCTTGCTCCGCCGTTCAACAGGATCATGGCTGATCCATCGTTCCTCAAGTTCACTTTCCTGTCTTTTCTCCATAACCTCTGATTCTCCTACTGATCAAGAATCTATTTCAGCCTTAAATATACACAAGGAGCGCCAAAGACTCTCAACCCTCAGTGAAGAAAGTTCTCATCTCAGATTTAAATTGGCATTTCTTTATTCTGACATTATGCCTCTGGTCCTAGACCGTCCCATGAGGAGAAAGATCCTATCATTTACTCTTTCAAGTCCCTCAAGAATCCTGTATGTTTCAATAAGATCACCTCCCATTCTTCTAAACTCCAGAGTAGCAGCCCAAACTGTATAGCCTTTGCTCGTAAAACAATCCTTCCATACCAGGGAGCATCTTAGTGAACCTTTTCTGGTAGGGTAGCGCTTTCAAATTGGATACAAAACTGGCTTAACGGCAGGAGAGAGAGTGGTAGAGGAGGGTTGTTTAAATCGGACTGGAGACCTGTTACCAGTGGTGATTCACATGGGTCTGTGCTGGGTTCACTTTTGATTGCCATTTATATAAATGATTTATATGAGAATATAGAAGGCATGGTTATTAAGTTTGCTGATGACATCAAAATTGAATGGTACAGTGGAGAGTGAAAAAGGTTATCTAAGATTACAAAGAGGTCTAGATAAATTGGGCCGGGGGTTGAATGGCAGATGGAGTTTAATTCGAATAAATGTGAAGTATTGCATTTTGGTAAAAAAACAAATAAATGCACGACTTATACGATTAAAATTACAGCCTTGGGCAGTGTTGTGGAACATAGAGACCTAGGGGTTTAGGTACCTAATTCTTTGAACTTTGGATCACATACAAACAGGGTGGTTAAAAAAAAGGTGTTTAGTACACTTGCTTTCATTGCTCAAACCTTTGAGTCTAGGAGTTGGGGCATCATGTTGATGTTGTACAGGACATTGATGGGGCCTCTTCTGGAGTACTGTGTGCAGTTCTGGTCACCCTATTACAGCAATGATCTTATTGAGCTGGAGAGTGTTCAGAAAAAAATTTACTAGGATGTTACCCGGAACAGAGGGTCTGAGTTAGAAAGAGAGGCTGCATAGGCTGGAGTGTAGGGGGCTGAGGGGTGACCTTATGGATATTTATAAAATCATGAGGGGTATAGATAAGGTGAATGGCAAGTGCCTTTTCCTAGGGTCAGGGATTTCAAGACTAGGGGGCATTTTTCAAAAGTGCGTGGAGGAAAAAGATTTAAAAAAGACATATTGGCCAACTTTTGTTTGCGTAGAGAGTGTGGTTTGTAGGCGGAATGAACTTTTAGTGGTGGATGCGGATACAGTTACAACATTTAAGAGACATTGGAGTAAGTACACAAATAAGGAATGTTTGGGCCAAGCGCAGGCAGATGGGACTAGTTTAGTTCGGGATTATGATCGGCGTGGACTTGTTGGACTGAAGGGTGTGTTTCTGTGCTGTAAGATTCTAACTGCCTCCAATGAAATGATATCTTTCCTCAAATAAAGGGATTCAAAACTGTTCAGAGTACTCCAGAAATGCTCTCACCAGCACATTAGAAATAATTTTACAAAACACATGAATTCCATAATTGAAACTATTTCCAATCAACTTTTGTGCACAAAACTTCCATAAAAATTTAAAGCACTGAAGTGATTGATAATTTAAAGCTAAATCATAAGTTCTGGAAAACTTTAGCAGGTCTGGCAGCATCGATGGAGAGAGACAGAGTTAACTTTTCAAGCCCAATGACTTTTCTTTAGATGTTATAACAAAAAAGTGCACCCAAGAGTTTTCAAAATGGCATTTTACATTATTAACCTAATTCAAAATGCAGATAACGTTAGATTAAACATCAGTTGTCAATCTATAGGAAGCAAATGCTACACTATCATATATGTTGAGAACGACACACAAACTGGAGTCCTACAATCTGAATTAAGAGACTAATATGAAAGTGGTTTAACAGTCAACTGGACCAAAAAGCTAAATGGTTCACTTCTAACAATTCTTCCCAACACCTAAGCAATAAACAATTTCTTTGAGCAAAAATGTTGGAAGGGCTCAACGGGTAAAAATAGTTCTGATGCAAAATTAACATTCTTTACCTTTCTACAGATGTTGGCTGGCCTTCTCACAAACAACCATATTTTCTGTTTTTGTTTCATTCCTACATAGGCATTATTTTACATTTTGTTACAACTACAATCGATAGTGAAGCAAACTGAAAAATCAAATGATTTCTTTGAAACAGAATTCAATAATATTCATTGTTCAGTCATTTTAGTTAAGAAATATACATTGCATTGCTATCCTCAATGGATATACCTCTTGTATCCAATAATTGCTGGAAAGCGATCGATTTACTTACTCTTTGGTCAGCAGCGGGCATGACTTCAGCAAGAATCGAGAGAGTGCGTTATCCTGGAAAGTCAGCTCTGGAGGAGCAGTTGGACTCTTAAGATTAAGACATCTTACAATGATGTAGAGCACTGCAGCGACTGCAGCCAGCTTCATCCCATCAAACATTGCTGGCATTTCAGGAGCAATCCTTAAATTCTCCGAGTCTGCCATTGTTGCCTACAAGTATTTTAAAAGATAAAGTTGGTTAAGTATAAATGTCATTCAAACAAGTTAATTGCTGAGGTGGTCATGACACTTTAACTACAATCAAAATTTCCCAACTCAAATCAGCTCACTTGATTTCAAAACAGCCATAGAAAGTTTGAAGAGAGTTGTGGAAATGCAGAGAAGAAATGCGAAAAGGAGCTTTTGACTAATAGTGATGTCAAGAATGGAATGGGAGAGGGGTTGGGGGAAGCACAGAAACAGATCTACAATGAATTTAGACTAAAATGTTCATACTCCATTACACAAACAGTATGTCTGTTGTGAAAGACTGCACATGCAAAGCCAGGTGTAACTGAGAAGAGGGGGAAAACTGTTTGCAGAGTCAGATGTCAGTTGTACTAGATCATGGTGGTGGACAATTAAACAACTGAAATGCAAGAGGCTTCACAGATATTGCCATCCTCAAAAGGCAGGGAGGTGGGGGGGTGGTGGCGGGAAGCCAAGTACATTAGTGCAAAAAAAAAAAAAACAAGCCCTTGATTTGGTATCCACCTTCAGCAGAAATGCCAAGGAGATGATCCATCTAGGCTTCCTCCCAAAGACCCCAGCTTCACAGGTACTAGTCTTCAACCAATTCAATTCCCTCCATGTGATATCAAGAAAAGACTGAAGACACTGAATACTGCAAAGATATTGGACCCTAACAATGCTTTGCCAATATTACCAAAGATTTATGCTATGGAAATAGCCATGCCCTTAGCCAGACTATTCCCATACAGTTATAACACTGGCATCTAACTCACAAGGTGCAAAATTGTCTGACTATGTCCCGTACACAAAAGCCAGGCAAACCCAACCCAGCCAATTATTTGCATGTCTACTCTCAATCATCTGCAAGATAATGAAAAAAGATCACTGACAGTACTATCAAGAGGCAATTGCAAAGGAGTCATCTAATCACTGCTGCTCACTTTGGATAACACCATCGCCACTCAACTCCTGACCTCATTACAGCCTTGGCCCAAACATGGACAGAACAGCGCAACACCAGAGAAGTACGTGACCAGTCTTTAGATAAAGGTAGCATTTGACCTGGTAGAGCATCAAGAAGCTCCAGCAAATAGGAATAAACGATAATCAGGCAGAAAAGTCTACACCGGTTGGAGACGTTTCCAGTACAAATGAAGACAGCTATGGTAGAGTTAGAGTCATACATCATGGAAATAGACCCTTTGGTCCAACTCTTCCGCGCCAGACATCCCAATCCACTTAGTCCCATTTGCCAACATTTGGCCCATATCCCTCCAAACCCTTCCTATTCATATACCTATCCAAATATTGTAATTGTACTCCCCTCCACCACTTCCTCTGGAAGCTTGTTCCATATACACACCACCCTCTGCATGAAAATATTACCTCTCAGGTTCTTTTCAAATCTTCCCCCTTACCTTATACCTATGCTCTCTAGTTTAGGTCCTAGGAAAAAGGCCTTGGCTATTCTATTCATGCCACTCATGATTTTATAAACCTCTATAAAAGGTCACCCCTCAGTCTCTGGTGCTCCAGGGAGAAAAGCCTCGGCCCATTAGCCTCTCCCAACAGCTCAAACTCTCCAGTAACACCCTTGTAAATCATTTCTGCACCCTCTCAAGTTTAAACAACATCCTTCCTATAGAAGGACAACAATCATCTCAGTTCCAGGCCATCATTACAGGAGTTCCTCAGATTAGATATTTCTAAGTAACTTGTTCAGAGATATTATTACACACCTCTGGAGCAGGTGACTCTAGGCCCCCTGGCCCAGAAGTGGGGGCATTATCACTACAACATAAAGGCCCTTCTTGAGTTCCTCAGTGTACTATCCCAGGCTCAATTATCTTCACCTGCTTCCTCAATACCCTTCCCTCCATCACAATGTCAGAAGTGGAGATGTGCAATCATTGAACAGTGTTCAACACCATTTGCGACATCTCAAATACGATGTAGTCGGTGTTGATATGCAGCAAGATCTGAACAATATGCAGGTTTGGGTGATTAATAGCACGTAGCATTCACATCATACAAATGCCAGAAAATAACCATCTCCAACAAGGGAGAATTTAACCATCACTTGAAATTCAATTGGATTGCTATCACTGAATCACCCACTATCAATATCCTAGGGATTACCACTGACCAGAAATCAAACTAGAATAGCCACATACACACTGTATCTACAAGAGTGGGTCGTAAGCTAGGAATTATGTAGTGAGGAACTGAATTTCTGGCTCCCAAAGCCTGTCCACTATCTACAAGTGGAGAGTGATGGAATACTACCAACTTGTCTAGATGGGTGCAGCTCCAAAACTAGTGAAGAATCTTGACACTATCCAAGACAAAGCAGATTGCTTGACTGGTAAGCCCACGACCTTCAATATTCAGTCCCTTCCCCACTAATGCACAGTGAAAGCAGTTTGACAACTCACCAAGACTTCTTCGAGAAGATGTTGTAACCTGTGATTTCCACCAGTTAGAAGGACAAAGACAACAGGTGCATGGATATCAGAGATAGTAAGAACCGCCGATGCTGTGGTCAGAGATAACAGTGTGGAGCTGGAGGAACACAGCAGGCCAGGCAGCAGAGAAGGAAAGTTGATGTTTCGGGTCGGGGCCCTTCTTCAGAAACGGGGCTTGATTTTGGGAATGAGATAGAAGAGTCCCAACCAAAAACATCAACTTTCCTGCTCCTCTGATGCTGCCTGGCCCACTGTGTTTCTCTAGCTCCACACTTATCAGATACGTGGATATACCACCATTTGCAAGTTTCTCTCAAGACATCAGCCTGGAGCTCAGCGACCAGTGGTGTGCTGCAGGGATCTGTTCTGGGACTTCTGCTGTTTGTGATCTTTATAAGTGACTTGGATAAGGAAGTGGAAGGGTGGGTTAGTAAGTTTGCCGATGACACAAAGTTGGAGGAGTTGTGGATAGTGTAGAGGGCTGTTGTAGGTTGCAGTGGGACATTAACAGGATGCAGAGCTGGGCAAAGAAGAGGCAGATGGAATTCAACCCAGAAAAAAGTGTGAAGTGATTCATTTTGGAAGGTCAAATTTGAATGCAGAAGACAGGGTTATTGGCAGGATTCTCGGCAGTGTGGAGGAACAGAGGGGTCTTGCGACCCAAGTTGATAGGGCTGTAAAGAAGGCGTATGGTGTGTTGGCTTTCATTAGCAGGGGAATTGAGTTTAAGAGCCCTGGAGGTTATGCTGCAGCTCTATAAAACTCTCGTTAGACCACACTTGGAATATTGTGTTCAGTTCTGGTCACCTCATTACAGAAAAGATGCGGAAGCTTTAGAGGGGTTGCAGAGGAGATTTACCAGGATGCTGCCTGGACTGGAGGGTAGGTGTTATGAGGAAAGTGGAGGGAGCTAGGGCTTTTTTCATTGGAACGAAGAAGGATGAGAGGTGACTTGATAGAGGTTTACAAGATGATGAGAGGCACAAATAGAGTGGATAGCCAGAGACATTTTCCCCAGGGCGGAAATGACTTTTATGAGGGGGCATAAATTTCAGGTTATTGGAGGGAGGTACAGGGGAGATGTCAGAGGTAGGTTCTTCACACAGAGTGGTGGGCGTTTGGAATGGGCTGCCAGCAGTGGCTGTGGAGTCAGATACTTTAGAGACTCTTAAGCGACTCTTGGATAGACACAAGGAGGATAGTAAAATGTAGGGTATGCAGGGTAGATTGATCTCAGCAGGATAATAGGTCGGCACAAGATCATGGGCCGAAGGGCCTGCACTGTGCTGGTCTATGTTCTATCCTTACTTGGAACTATTACCGTTTCTTTACTGTTGTTGGTTCAAAATCTTAAATCTCCCCCTCCCCCGAAGCAGCACTGAGTTATTACATCCTCCAAGGACTGCAGTGGTTTAAAACGGCAGCTCACTAGCACCTTGGTCAGGGCAATCAGGGATGGGCAATAAATACAGGGCTAGCCAGCACAACCCCATCAACTTGAACGAGTAAACAAAAACAACCATACAGTAAATTACTGATCCAAAGCAGCCCTATGGAAATTAAAAGATGACATAAACCACCTTTTCCTCACATACCTTTACGTAATAGATTGATGTGAAAGATTTTGGACTTTCATCCAATTTGGAATTCTCAAACCAGCATCTCAATTTCCCTCCCTTCTCTTTCAGCTCTTTTCAGTTTTGGTGGTCCTGCATGATGGGCTTTGTCCCTTCGCCCGATTTCTGAAGTGTATCAAAATAATAGAAACTGTTCCAAGCAGACCCGCATCCACTTGTGGGAGAATTTCAAGAATGGGTTAATTTTAAAACCATTTAAAAACAAGTCAGACAATCCCCTTCGACATTCAGTATAAATGTAAGAGAAAATGAAGGATGGACTAGAACTTACGAATTCCGTTATTCACTCTTGTAAAACAAAACTTCAGTTCCGGTAACAAGGTTCAGTTCTTGGACTCCGAACCTAAAACCAAACGAAAACAATATTACTGGAAATCTAAACCAAAAAAAATGCAAGTGTACACTAACTGTACAAAATTCTAACAGGGTTAAAAGTATCTTGTGAATTACTGAATCAGAACAAAATACCGTTACCCATTTTAATTCTGAAACAACGGCTGTGGTTCAGCTTCAGGTTTAAATAAACTGCAAATTAAGTTAAGTTAATATCTTTTGTCCTTGTGACAACATTCCAACTGACTTCACAGTAATTGTTTTAGAAAATATCAAGGTTGCTGTAAACCCTCTTACTATCCATGGCTTAAAAGTTCAGGCCTAATCCAGAATTTGCTATATGAATACTCATGGCAAGAAGTATAATTTTGTTCTAGAAAAATGTCCCAAGATAATTTAAAGTTCAGGTCACACTAAAGTGGCAAGGGTATGGTGGGAACTGGTTGAAAGCACTATTGAAAAAGGCAGGAATTAAAAAGGAAGATTTGCAAAGTGCGGCGAAACAAGATCAAAAGAAGCAGTTGCATAGTTCGGAGGCAAGGTGCTTAAAAACACTGCCATTGATTGTATACCAGAAAGAACAAAGCATATGTCTAAGATGGAATTTGTCAGTTCAAGGGACTGGAAGAGTAGCAACACTACAGGAGTGTTGGAGGTTGTAACCAAGTTTGAAAAAAGGCTTGACACAACATTTATTCCTTACGCAAAAATAACTTATTTACCCAGCTTAGCTAACAAGCATCTCAAAACCAACAAAAGTTCAAACCACAGGCTTTAAAGAAACCCAACACACTTTAGGTAAACTTTAAGTGATCAACATGGCTTTTACACACTCCTTTCCATTGGTGCAGTCATCAGTTAGAGCAGACAGCCTCATCCGTGACACAACTTGACTGCATTGATGGACACAGTTAAACGTGATTCACACGTTTGCTGATTTTGAGAATAAACCCATGTTATTTGATCAGCTCTACAGTCAGGCTATAAAATGTACAAATGGAAATAAGATCAACTAATTTTTAAGAAGTAGAAATCAATAACAAATCTGCCGAATGTCAACTGTAATCCCGGAAAGAAGGAACACAGAATGCAAAGTATGTTGCACGCAGATCTAGTTTCTTAAATGTGTTCATTTCTCAGAAGAAAATACATGAGAAGTGGGAGGACAGAAATAAATGACATCATACCCAAATTTCTAAAAGCAGATTTTTGACAGATACTCAATACCAGTTTTTGGATGTCAGCAGATGGACTGGTCTCAATTTGCTGATTTCTTAAGGGAAGTTTCTTCTTAAAATTAATAGTTTCTGCCAACATCAGCCGCTTTGCCATAAATATTCAAGCCACTGTCACCTCAGCCACAGGATAGCCAATTTTATTAGGTAGAGCTCTGACCGGGAACCTTTGGATTTGTATTTAAAGCACACGCAGGCAGGGATGTTTATTAGGATACTGTATTTAAATACAGTCAAACCTGTAATTTCCATATAGACGTAGAAGACTGAAAAATCTTATCTTCCAATTTCTAACTTGTTGGCACATTTAGAAAATAACAGGTACATAGAATAAAGCAAGAAAATTTTGTCCAGTGAGATTTAAAATATTGTAAAGAATTGCAACAGTTTAGTTCAAGAGGCACACTGAATATAACAGAACCATAAAAATTAGAGCAGAGAAAATGTCGTGCAGCCCTTACCTTCCATGCTAACATTTCAATTGGAGCAGTATGATACACAGCAAGATGACAACACGGCTAGACACACTACACACCCTGCTGTACATCAGGGACAAGTCAGCGATAACCACAAGACGACTCATACCCCTAGGTATCAGGGTAGCCCACAAACAAACAACCATCCTGCAACAGCTACTGATGAACGTAAAAGACTCCGTACCCACACCAATGTAATATACAAAATACCATGCAAAGGACTTGAGAAACATTAAATAGGCCAAACTAGAAGAAAACTGACGATGAGGATACACAAACACCAAATAGCCAAGAGACATGACCAATTCTCACTGGTCTCAATACACACAGACAAGAGGAGGACACAAATTCGACTGGGACAACGCATCTATAATAGCACAAGCCAAACATACGTGCCTGGGTATTCCTGGAGGCCCGGCATTCCAACCGGAATTCCAGCAACACACACATTGAACTGGACCCAATATACAAACGACTGAAGAACAAAACTGGAAGTAATACCAACCACCCCAGCAAACCAAGGCAAGTAAACAACAAGCAGAATGGAACACCAATGCTTCACCAAAGGTGCACTGACGATGTTGCTTAGCAGGGGGACGAAACGTCTGCAATCAAACACCCCGGCTTGGCGAGCAAGTCTGCAACCTCATCCACGACCCAAGCTACAAATCTTCTCAAAAACTGATATAAATATCTTGCGCACACATCCTTTAAATTTTTTTCCCCCCAAACTTACTAATAATACAGTAATTCATACTAATAAACCTAACCCAAACACAATAGCCTAATAGCCAATGCAGATAAACACTGCATGATTCAGACTGCCTTTTGTGTGAAAATATTTCATTCAACTTCTTCCTTCCCTTATCATAACTATCAACCCACATTCCCACCCATTTGTCAAACAGACCAACCAAACTTACACAACCACCATTTCAAAATCCTTCACTGACTTTGAAATCTTTTTGATAAAACCTCTGTTGTTCTAAATTAATTGCTCTCAATCAGAATCTTAAAACAGCAATATATTAAAGTCTTTTCAAGACCATAAGATGCAGGAATAAAAGCCAGCTATTCAGCCCATCAAGTCTGCTCTGCTATTCAGTGAGATCATGGCTGATTTGATAATCCTTAATTCTATTTTCCCTATGACCCTCAATTCCCTTACTGATTAAAAATGTCTACCTCAGCCTTGAATACAGTTAATGATCCAGCCTCAGTAGCCCTCTGCAGTATAGAATTCCATACATTCATTACCCTTGGACAGAAGAAACTCTGCCTCATCTCAATCTTAAATGCATGACTCCTTATTCTGAGATTATACACTTTGGTCCTGGACTCCCACAAAGGGAGATACCCTTTTTGATTCTCTCTTAAAACTGCCCTAAGAATCTTCTGTTTCAATAAAGTCATCTCTCATTCTTCTCAATTTCAATGAGTACAGACCCAACCTACTCAACCTCTCCTTGTAAGAAGTCCCTCCATACCTGGTATTAGCCTGGTTAATCTTCCCTGAACAGCCTCTAATGTCAGTACATTGTCAAATAAGGGGACCAGAATTGTTTATAACTGTTGCCCAACTAACACTTCATTTTGCTAAAAACCTACCTTCCTTTATCCTCCATTCATTTTCAAATAAAAGCCAACATTCCCTTTGCCTTCCTTATTACCTGGTTAACTTGGATACGAGTTTTTTTTGTAATTCATGGACAAGAACTGTAAAATCCCTTCTGTAGTTTTTTTGCAGCATTTCGCCATTCAAATAATAGTAAGCTCTTCTATTTTTCCTGTATAAGTGGATAACCTCATTTCCCACAATGTATTCCATTTGCTAAGTTTTTGCCGAATCACTTTACCTTTCTGTATCCCTCTGAAGACCTCACCACTTGCTTTCCAACCTATTTTTATGTATTCCACAAACTTGACTATAGTACATACACTTGACTCATCCAAGTCATTAATGTATACTGTAAATAAATGTGGCCCCAGCACTAATCCCCATGGCAATCAACTAATTACAGGTTGCCATCCTAAAAATTCCCCACTTATGCCAAATTTGTCTTCTATGAGTTGGTCAATCCAGCATCCTAATTAATATACTGTTCCAAAACCATGAGCTCTTACCTTAATAAGCAGCCAAACATGGTACTTTATCAAACACCATCTGAAAATCCAAAATATGTTATAACCACTGTTTCCTCTTACCTATTCTGCTTTTTAATTCCTCAAAAAAATTCAAGTAAATTCATTTTGCATGACCTCCCCTTTATGAAGCATATTGACTGTACTTGATCATATCATGTATTTCTAAATGGTCTGCTATTACATCCTTTATAATAAACTCTGGCCTATATTTACCTGTTATTTTTTGCTTCCTTCCATTTTGTTATGAAGTGGAGGTTGACCCCTCCCTCCCAATAACTAAAACCAAAAACACCCAGAGAGGCTCACCTCACCCTATAATCTGTTAAATGAAGGGTGAAAAGTGGTATAACCTGCCTCTCACCAATCTCTTATAAAAGGAGTGGTTAAATGAAATAAACTCTTGACACTCCTCCCATAAATCAACAAGCAACAATTTATCTAACTCTAATAGTGAACAAATTAACTGTTTAACTGAACTATTAACAAACCGAAAAAACTTCTAACTACTAACTTTTCCTGAATAAAACAAGATTAGAATGGTATGCTGTTCCAATAAATACAAGGCCCACTTATATAAATCAAAATAAAAGTTTAAAAATTACAGTCAGGTTACGTCTTCCAGGTTGTTGTGTCTTCTCCTATGATCTTTTGTTAGCGATGCCTTCTGTCGAATTCTTTTGTCAGGAAAATTAACTAAGAGCCGTGGTACCTTTATTTGAATGATGCTTTCTCCAAGAGCTGAGCTCTTAGCAGATGGCAGTTTACTCTATGCCGAGTTTGCAACTGTCCCCATTTTTTTATACCTTGATGACATCAACTTCTTACAATAGCATTAGGCCTATTTCGTCAAAACCATCAGATTTAAATTTAGAGATAGTAGGAACTGCAGATGCTGGAGAATCTGAGACAACAAGGCATAGAGCTGGATGAACACAGCAGGCCAAGCAGCAGCAGGAAGGCTGATGTTTCGGGCCTAGACCCTTCATCAGAAAAGGGGGAGGGGAAAGGGGTTCTGAAATAAATAGGGAGAGAGGGGGAGGCAGATAGAAGATGGATAGAGGAGAAAATAGGTGAAGAGGAGACAGATAGGTCAGAGAGGCGGGGATGGAGCCAGTAAAAGGTGAGTGTAGGTGGGGAGTTAGGGAGGAGATAGG